TTAGTGTAATGACTATGCTGCTAGACTCCCACGTAGTCAACCGCAGTTCGCGTCCCGAACCCGGTGGCTTAAAACTCACGCCGGGCACGTGTGCGTGCATGACCAAGATCCTGAGAGGAGAATGGAGGAGAAGGGATTGCGGCGTGGCCATTCCCCCTGGGGGGTGATTTCTCACTTTCTGTTTCTCTGTCTCTCTCTGTCTGTCTGGCGAGCGCACGTGCCCTATAGCAAAAACCTCTCCAAAAAAATAAATAAATAAATAAGTATATACAGTCACAGCTTATCCATTTCTATGCTTATCATTATTTCCTTTATCCTATACTTCTGCATCCACTTCTCCTCTTATTGAAATTATCTTATAGTGTTTATAAAATGATTGCAAAGATGGTTAAATAACAGGAAAACTTTAGACTATTACAACTATTGAAAAATCTTTTTCATAAAAAATAAACTGAAAGAAGAGGAAAAACATTTTCATGGGAGTTCAGATTAGGTTAGACTTAACCAACACATTAGTTGAGGGAAGGAATTCAGAAGCTGCCACCTCTTCTCCTCTCCGATATGCGTACACCATTATTCTTGGAAGAGAAATTCCCCGTGGGTCATAAGCAGGTCTCACTTATAAGGCAGTTCCTTGGAAATCAGCCAACCAGTGGAGAATGGCAACAAATCGGAAAGACCTGGGTTCCAGTTTTAGTTCTCACATCAACTGGTTGGGCAAGTCGCGAACCCTTTCAAGTCCTCAAAACAACAAAAAAAAAAGAAAGCCAAAGAAAACAATCTTCCTCACTAGGATTTTGTTGAGAAGAGTAAATGAAACAATGAAAATAGAAGCACTTTATCAAATTATAAGGAGATCAGATTCACACATTTGGGTGCTCATAATGCTTTAACTGTAAGTCGGACTAAACTATAACACGATTAGGCTACATTAGCCATGTGTGCTATCCACTAAATTAGAGTGAACCCAAAACAAATAGGAAACCAGATAAGGGCTGGTCACCTACCACTTCCTATTTTCCACCTCCTCCTCACATTAACATGCTTCCCTCCACCTCCCAGCCTTCATTGACTATTTTTTTTTCATGGTGTATAGGCTGACAAATCAATGCAGGCCTTCCTTTTGCATTTCTTTAATGAGCGAAGCTGGGCAGAACACCTGTTCGCTGCCATGACCCCAGCGTCATATTACTGGCATCCCAGCTCCTCCTGCACGGTAATTGTAAGTGGCATTCTATCACTTGGTCATATTTCCCAGACTTCGATCTGTCTTTGTTCATTTCAGTTTTCTAATACATCTGTGTCCTTATTAATAGCTCTATTCCTAACTCGGAAAATACTCAGTTATTCCAAATAGTAAGAATGCTCATCACAGTTGCCCTGGGATCCAGCTTGGAAGGCCTTTTTGTATAAGGCCAAACTAGTCTATTGTTGTATTAGCAGAGATTCGCAAGGTAACAGCAACTCCTGAGGCTATGAGAAAGATGAAAGGACAGTCTTAGCCAGTGTTGCCTGCTACATGCCTTCTTTAATACAACAACAACAAAAATGATGGTTATTAGTCTGAGGATCTTACACTATTTGTTTTCTTACCAACAACCTATTTAGCTTGGACTTGCAGAAAAGAGTATTCTTAAGGTTTTTTCATCTGTTTCAATGATCGTGCTTCAAAGGAAGACTACTAAAAAAGTAAGTGAAATACCTCCTGAGCTACATTTAATTCCTTTCGCATCTTACAGTAAAAATTTCATTGTTGCAAGATTTTATGAAATGGATTCATTCTTTTAGATATTTTAATAATTTGCAAAAAAAAAATTGTAAAAGGAAAACAAAAGATGCACAAAATGTATTAAGGTAACATCAAACAGAAGCAATGAATTGGGTGCTTTTGAAAATGGCTAGAATATCAGATTTCCTGGCTGAAAAGCCCTCTACATATCCAGACAGACACTTCACAAATAACAGTAATTAAGACATTCCACAACATCACGCAAAGTCGGAGAGGGTAAGGGAAGAGCTTGGAGACAACAACACAGTTTACGATCCAAGCCAATAAACTGCCAGACCCATAAGAAATCCATTCATCTCTAACAGCATGAAAAAACATAATTAACTTCTACTACCTGAGAACTGGAATACCCTGACCACAGGTTTCAGGGTTATATCTTTAGTTATCTTGAATGATGGTGAATCTGAGCCATAAATGATCTCTTCCGAAGACGTGACCCAGAGGAAGGCAATTGGGTAATGAGATGCCAGAAAGGATACCAACAGACGACTAAAAACTATAAAATACATGAAAGAAAGATGTGCAAAAAGCGGAGGCAAGGGACCAGCAGTTAGCGTAATGGCTATGTCGCTGGACTCCCACGTAGTCGACCACGGTTCGCGTCCCAGACCTGGTGGCTTAAAACTCACGCCGGGCTTGTGTGCGTGCGTGCCCAAGATCCCAAGAGGAGAATGGAGGAGAAGGGGTTGTGGCGTGGCCATCCCCCCTGGGGGGTGATTTATCACTTTCTGTCTCTCTGTCTCTGTCTGGCTAGCGCACACACCCTATAGCAAAAACCTCTCTCAAAAAAAAAAAAAAAAAAAAAAAAAAAAAAGGGACAAACCATTTCTCCTAGAAAATCAA